CACTCACAGACACTCACTCACTCACAGGTCGGGGCTAACGTGCTGTTCCTCTCGCACAGATCGGAGACGTTAAAACTGCAGAGCGATACTTCCAGGACGTGGAGAAGTGCGGCCCGGTGAAAGGCAGCCAGCAGGCTCTCGCCACATGCGTGTTAATGAACAGGTACCTGCATGCGTGTGTGTGTCTGTGTTTCATTTAGCGCCTCGTGCAGCGTGTGAACTTCATGCCTCAGCGGCGTGCGATTTCGAGGAGGTCGAACGTCTGTGCTGACCCGACTCCCTCGCACGCCGATGCTCGCCTCGCAGACCTGCAGAGCTGCTGTAAACTAGAGCGGTCTTGTACTTCCTGTGCTCGTCTGCGTCCGTTTATTTATTCGGCAAATGACAAACTGAAGTCACATGACTTCCCCCGGGTTCGAGCACGCACACAGTCAGTATCTATAATTTGGCATCTTAATCAATATTAATCATATCGTGGTTCCTATTTTTCAGCTTTTTCACTTCTATCTTAGCATTGAAATATCATTTTGATCAATGGATGATTAATGAAAGGCCTTTTGTAATGTCTGTAGCGCCCCCTGGGGGTTGTTGCTGTTTAATTAGGCTGTGATGAGGCTGGTTGCTCTGAGATTAAATGTGATTGGTCCTGAACAGAGCCCCTCCCCTTTTTTATTTTCTTAATGATTTTCACTTTGGTGTCAAAACTTGTTGCAAGTTTCATTTTTTGAGGTGTTGAAAGAGTTTTGAAAAGCAGTGATTTTGTGGCAGCGGTTGGTTTAGTTGCTGCTGAGCTCATCTGTGTTCAGGGATTCACCTGAACGCAGGTAAACCCGTTTAAACCTGTTTGAACGCTCGACGCAGGTTGGAAGGATTTGAAATGTGTTTCCTGCTTTCAGGGCTTTCGTCCACCTCAGTCAGAACAACTACACCGAAGCACACGCCTCCTTCATCGAAGTGCTAAAGATCGACCCAAAGAACCCCGTGGTAGGTACCGCCGCCATCCTCCAAACGGTCCCCAGAGCAGTGCACAGAGTGGGTCAGGCCGCCTCTGTGGGCTCAAACTGTGCTCGTGAATATTTTGTACTTGTAAATCAAAGTTGAGAACTGAGTTTTGTAACCTTGTAACCCAAAATATCCGAATATTTTATGTTTGTGCATCTGTAGATGAGAGTGTGTGTTTAAAAAATATTTACACGAGTTACAAATTGTTTTATGAAAGTCTGCTGACAGGAACAAAGCAAAACACTGCGTGTGAAACTCCCTGCTTCTGTGTGAGTTTCAGCTTGCACTACGAATTCTTCCTTTCAGCTGATTGGTCAATGTCATGTCAATTACAGATGTAACAATCCAATCAGAGAACAGATGGGTTTGGCTGTTGTTGGGGTACTTTATTGACCAATCAGCTGAAAGGAAGAATTCGTAGTGTAAGCTGAAACTCACACAGAAGCAGGGAGTTTCACACGCAGTGTTTTGCTTTGTTCCTGTCAGCAGACTTTCATAAAACAATTTGTAACTCGTGTAAATATTTCTTTAAACACACACTCTCATCTACAGATGCACAAACATAAAATATTCGGATATTTTGGGTAACGAGGTTACAAAATATTTATGAGCACAATTTGAGCCCATATTCCTCCACAGTGACGTCATCACATACACTGACTGCAGTCATTACAGTGGTGAGGTTACTTTTGCACACAGGCAAGCCGCTGTGGATCACTTTGTTTCTACGTCATCGTTTCAAACTGCACTTTGTCTTTACTCGGGTCACCTGAGACTTTAATATGTGTAATATTGAAGTTTGATGATCAGTGTGGCAGATACGTCACGTGTCACAAACATCGTCAGTGACGATGATGATGAAGTAAAATGTCATTTTTTGAGCTGCACTCATGTCCTTGTATCATAACCATCACTCTGTATTATTAGCTTATGATAAAGTGTCACCAGAAGGGGGCGCCAAACAACCACAGCCAAGCTGGTGACTGAGCAGGTTCCTGTAGGAACTAGTTTCTTCATACTGGCTGCATCCTGCAGCCGTATCACTCCTCAGGAGGAAGTGTGTGTCTACTTTGGCTCATGTGACAGGAAGGAAACATTAAATGTGTCGGCCATTAGAAACAAAATAGTTTTGTGCTGCTCAGAGCAGCCAGTCAGAAGACTTAAAGTGGGAGGAGCTAAAGTGTCTTGTCTCAGACTGTTACACCGGTGCGTGCACAGTTAAACCCTCCTCTTCCTCCGTGTGTTCGCAGGCCAACAACAACGCGGCGGTGTGCCTGCTCTACCTGGGCCGCCTGAAGGAGTCGCTGGGCCAGCTGGAGGGCCTGGTGCAGCAGGACCCGGCGCAGTACCTGCACGAGAGCGTCCTCTTCAACCTGACCACCATGTACGAGCTGGAGTCGTCCCGCAGCACGCAGAAGAAGCAGGCGCTGCTGGAGGCCGTCGCCTGCCGGGAGGGCGACAGCTTCAACACGCAGTGCCTCAAGCTGGTCTGAGAGGAGGAGCAGCTTAGTTTGACCTCCCAGACACAAAACAGCGAGTTTTATTGTCACTAAACAGATGAAGGGCACCCAATCATCATCATCCTCACAATAACCCACAGGAGCAAAGCCTGCAGCAGCGTCCTCCAGCGCCGCACAACCGCAACCCGAAAATCGTGTCCTCACGCCCTCCCTCTGACTGCTGAATCACACCAGAGCCAGTCTGCGTCTCCAGGTTCAACTCACAGCTGTTCAAAAACAACAGATCTGAGCTGCAGGAAGGAAGCTCGCTGGTTTCCATTTGTAGTCCATTTAACTGGACTACAAACTGGCCAACCATGTTTGAGTCGAGGGTTAAAGAGGGAACAAATTTACTGAAGCACAGACAGCAGAGACCCGCTCTTTTATTAGTCGGGGCAGGAAGAATTTTCAAAATAAAAGCCCCAGTGCAGAGCAAAGTCCAGGATAAAAGCCCACATCGGTGTTTCCCTGGTCAGACGGCAGGACGGCTTCATGTTTCACACATTTTAACTTAAACTGGGTCCAGTTTAATTCAGTTTCATCCCAGCTCGCCTTTTAATTTGTAGTAAAGTCTCAGCCCACTTTGTGTTTTGGAAGGAACAGACGGGACGCTGGAGGCGGGATGTCAGAGACTCCGGTGGGCATTATCCTGATTATCTGCAGACCGGACAGCTTCAGTGACTCGGCCCGCTTGTGTTCAACATATCAGCAGCAGGGTTTCCTTTGAGTTCACCAGGAATTATTATATTTAAGTGATTTGTGTTTACTTTCTGTGCTGATCATATTTATGTAAATGAAATAAAATGTGGTTTTAAGTGAAAGCGCAGCTCACTGTGTGTGTTTGACGTGGGAAGAAATGACAAACAGCAGCTTCATATTTATCCTTTAATCCAGAGACAGGAAGGCACTAACGAGCTGGATCCTGAATAATCACGAGAACCTTTAAAGAAGAGTTAAAGTCCTGATGAAGGAAGCTGTGCTACAACATTCAAACCACCCAGGACCTCTGTGTGGAGGGGCGGAGCCTCCAGGCTCACTGGGCAGGAGTTTTGCACGTCTTATCCAGGCGTCGGGCAGCAGTCTAAGAGTCACCTGACCTCTGCATTCTCTCTCACGGCCAGCAGGGCGACGCTGCCCTCACGCCATGACCTGCTGATGGTCTCGTCCTGAGTCGTGAAGCACTCATGGTGATGTCATGCTCTGGTCTTAATGTTGTGGCTGATTGTTCCTCACAGTAAAAACTAAAATTTCTGTCTAAGAAGTAGAAACTGAAATTAAAATCTTCATGCTACATCGTCGTCCACATCATCGTTCTCTGCTCTGATTGGACAGACTTTTTCTGCAGTGGGAATGGCGTCCGCGGCACTCTCAGGATCCCTGCATTGACGCCACGTATCGCTGACGGATCTCGAAGTTGTCAGCGGGGCGGTTGTAAGCCTTCCACACCGGCTCGCCCACAAACAGCCGCATAGCCTTCGTGTAGTTCTGGAGAAACAAACAGATCAGACAGTCAGGATTCAAACCAGCAACCAAATACGCACTGTACAGGCGCAAGGCGTGTTTTCGTACCATCTCGTCCAGCGTGAAGCGGTGGTAGATACCCGCCGGCAGCGTGATCAGGTCCCCTTTTCTCATGGCGATCCGGATCCACCGGTCCTCCTTGTCCCTGACATCAAAGTAGGCCTGGCCGTCCAGGATGTAGCGGATCTCGTCGTCCAGGTGGAGGTGCTCCTCGAAGAACATCTTCAGCTGCAGGAGAAACAGGAAACCTCTCACTCACTTCAAATAGAGCTCACATTCCAGTTTCAGCACCGCCGACGCTCGAGTGACCCGGGAATCTTTAACAATCTGGAGCGTCTCTGCGATACACGAGTCTGACTTGGTGCAACGATGGAGGCGGGAGGAGCCCTCAGCCTGCCTCCATCAGTGCACAGCTGGACTCAGAGGTGCTTCAGACTCCTCTGCATGCGATCATGCGCTGCCACAGTGAAGTCTGAGATGAAGAAGCTCAGAGGACTTTTCCCTCCCTGCAGTGAAAAACCTAAAAAAGGAAGTGTGGTGCTTTTCAAATTAAAAGCTCCGCAGACAAAACACGTGCTGGTACTTGCAGCTTTCAGAGCGCGTGGGTTACCTTCTCCTCGTAGTTGGGCAGAGTGTCCTTGTGGATCGTGATGATGTCCATGTAGGAGTAACCCCGGTCCTTACGGATCTGCTGCAGCTCCTGGTCGCTTTCATAGATGTCGGCGTTCAGCTGCAGGAAACAGGAAGCAGTCAAACCCTTACCTGATGTGTTTAGTGTAGCCGAAAAAGTAAAAAGCACATCAGTGGTTCCCGTATCAGTTACCATGACGATACACCCCAGCAGTGAGTGGACGCCCTTCTTGGTCAGAGTTACATGGATAAGATGCGTCACAGTGTCTGGACTTCACGTGCTCAGCACGTGACCTGTAACACCTGCTCTGTGTGCAGAAAACATGGGTGCTTGAGAGCAGCTTCAGCTCAGTGACCAACACTGATACCTGCTGTGTCTCAGCTGAACCCTCAGCACATAGTTTTACCTGCTTCAAACCCGAGAACTCTGAGCTGTTCGGGTCCAGCTGGGGATCAAGGGTCTGCACAAACTCCCACCCAGGAACCGCTGACCTTTAACCCGAAAACCTGCACACGTGAGCGGCCTTCTGCGGACTCACCTGCCAGTAAAACACTCCGAGCTCCTTCAGCTGCTCCAGGCTCACCGGCTGGTGCGGCTCCAGCCTGTGCGGCCTCCTCTGGTCCTCCTCGGACCCGTCCATGTACCAGGCCTCCAGACCCATGACGAAACACTTCACAGCTGGACCCGCGCGCTGTCAGACTTTCTTACTGCTGCACGGCTGTTTCGCGTGACTCCGGCAGCACTTCCGGTGTGCTGCTTTCAAGTACCTGGAATGTAGCAGGAAAAATGACGACTGAGAGGTCTGCAGATCTGTGACTGATCATCAACATTCCAGCAGACACCAGCTCCCGTAAAAACATGACAGATTGGAGGGAAAACAAGTTACAGACAAAGAACAGTGAAAAACATTTAATGTTTCAAAACATTATAAATATATGACACCCAGTCTCACAAAGAATGACCCCTGAATGACCAGAGATGATGAGAGAAAACAGAGGAAAGGCAGACAGGAACACTGCCTCTGACATTTCCATTCAGCTGTATTTGTTCTATTATATTGGACTTTAATATATTTTTAACGTATTTTAAAGAAATTTTTACATTTAAAAATCTAATTTGAGTGACAATTTCTTTCATCGCTCAAATTAGAATGAAACGTTTTGTTTAATAGATAATTTAACAATAATAAATTAAAATATTATCTCACACAGGCATAATTTCATAGCGTCAAATAATTTATAGACCCTATTTTTTTTATTTTTCATCTGACTTAACAACAGAATTTAAAAGCTCATTTATTTTACATAAATCTGGGTCAAGTGTTTCTAGTGCGCAGGCGCAGTTGGTTTACCATAGAAACAGGAGGAGTCATCAGTTGCTGACATGGTGAATGTTTGTAGGTTCTTTTTGGGGGGCTCTTTGTGTTTTTTTAAGTTATTGTTATTTGTATTCCTTTGTTTATTAGCAAAGGAAAGAAACATGGAGTCTCTTCTTCGACCCGCTGGAAACAGCGCTACGGCGGCTAACAGGCTAACTTTAACGAGTTCTTAGCTTGTTTGATTCGGCAACATTCGAGCGTTCGCGGGTTTAAACTTTTCCATGGTAACGGCGACCTGCACCAATCAAAGACGTCGCTTCAGTGTGTGATTGTGGGTAGAGCAGTTCTTATCCAGGAAATCGTGGGGGGAAAAGCGTTTTTGTCCAAAATAAATGAAATAACGGTTGATGAGGAGAGTTGTGGTTTCCATAGGAACAGATGGCACTGTTTCACAGGGTCATAGTCAGGCTGCTTTCCATGGTTACAGCACTGTGGCTCAAAATCCCCTCCTGGTGGAGAATATGAGCGCCATGTGTACAGGATCAACAGCACAAACCACAAATATAAAACATACAATGAATTCATGTTGTTGTTGATTTAAAGATGGCTTTTATTCAGAGTTATTAACATGAACCAAAGCAGAGTGTAAACCCTGCCTGTCTGACGGTTTCCAGGCCAAAGCCACGACTGTGGGAGACGCGCTGGCCAAATGAGTGAGACACACACACACAGAGTCTTTATTAAAGTCTGAGTAAGTTAACTTCAGATGCCTGCACTATGATTTGGGGAGGATTTTAATCAGGTAACCATGGTAACTGATACTATAGAACCAACCTGCTCTGGAGCAGATAATGTTCAAGATTAGAGATCCTCATGTGTGACATCCCTACGTACGGACCAATCAGGTCTTTGAAAAATAGCGTCACAGTTTGTGAAGATCCCTCAGAGCTCAGACAGTCTTTGTGTTTATGATGGAGCGTCGGGAAAACATTCGTGTAATGGAATAATGATCATAATCAAACAGAAGTTATATCCCACACAGACTCATTTATCTCCACCGGACAGACGATTGCACAGTTTATCTCAAAGTCTGTGCTAGTCTCTTTTGTTTCACACGCCATCACCACTTTCACTGCCACGGGACGGCGGTCAGACAATAACAGCGCACTTACAACAGTATGTACATGTATGTAATGATGTCTGTGTGTGTGTGCAGGAGAAGCAGTCAGGAGAGAAACTGAGCGAGGCAAAAGTCGTTAAACTATACGGTCAGATTCCTCCGATAGAGAAGATGGACTCGTCGCTGTCCACACTGATGAACTGCGAGTGAGTCCTGCAGACGGACGGCGTCTCATCGACTCTCACAGACATCATTTGGGAGCCTAAGAGGGACTCAGACTCAGGAGTTTATAACACAACAGTCCATTAGAGCTGAAATAAAGCTTGCATGCACACGTCTGATTAAACATGTCAGGTGCACTTTTCTCACAGCCGATTGGTCAATTAAAGTGTTCGTGGCGTTTTCAGGCCCGTGTTGCCCGGCTCAGATTCTCAGCCCAGGTTCAGATGCTTCTGCAGGCACGACTCCGAGCAGCTCGACTCAAACGCTGAAACCTGAAGGAGACGCGTAACTACGACTCCCAGGGTGCATTTCACTTGATGAGTCTTTTTAATGGGTTTCAGTTTGAAGACGGTCCCTGAACACTCATCACGAAACACAGAAGCTCGCCGTCAGTGGCTCCACTCACCAATATACATTTAATCTCTGTTTCAAATGAATCAGTTCATTCGCCTCCGATCAGGCCTAAGTTGACAGGTTGCGTTGACGGATGAAGCGGCAGTGTGTGGAATGTAAATGTTGACTGCGCTTCATAGATCTGCCCACTCATATTAGACAGAACAGCCTTTAATGTCATTGTACATACACAACAGAGTCAGAGCTTCAGTTATTTACAGAACAGTGTGAGGGCCACATGGGAGCAGGAGCGTCAGTGTCTTTGACCTGTTGCTTCTTCCTCCACAGGCAACTGTCTCTGTCCACGAACTGCATAGAGAAAATAACCAACCTCAACGGCCTGAGTGAGTGACACACACACACAGTCAGTGTGTAATGTGATGTTGTGTCCTTCCAGAGAACCTGAAGATCTTGTCTTTAGGGAGGAACAACATCAGACTGCTCACCGAGCTGGTAAGCCACGAATACGGAGGCTGAGAAGGTGGCCGGTGTGTGTCTGTAAAGCTGTGTGTGTGTGTGTGTAGGAGGCCGTAGGTGACACGCTGGAACAGCTGTGGGTCTCATAACCAGTTGGAGAAGCTGAATGGAATCCGGTGGCTGAAGAGCCTGAGAGTCCTGTACATGTCCAACAACCTGGTGAAAGACTGGAGTAAGTTCAAAAAGAACCGAGGCTTCAGGAATACTCACTCAAACCAATTTGTTTTTAGTTTCTCCTTGTTGCTGATTGGTGGGATCTGGATGTGATGCGTGCAGGTGAGTTCATGAGGCTGGCGGAGCTGCTGCCTGTGGTTCGTTGCACCGCTGTTCGTCTTATAACGGACTTTCTCTTTTGTAACAGCAGCTCGGGACTGTGCTGCAGACGCTGGAGAACGCCTCGGCTTCTAACAGCTGTTTGCAGCTGGTCCAATGTTACAGCTTTAAGTGACTCAGAGTTCGTGTTCATACGTTGTGACGGTTCCTTTATGATTTTCAGTGATTCTGATCATTTAAATAAATACTTTTGATTTTTTAAGAATAATCACTGCTGGAAGGTTTCTCACAGTTGGCTTTAAGATCAGATGATTCAAATATATTGGACGTCTGTGACACGAGGAGCAGAAACGCTGCAGGAAACTACAACAGAGTGCATTCTGGGTAAACTTTCAGGTGACTCCTTCAGGTTAGAGGAAGACTGACCAATCAGAAACGAGCTTTACTGTTTCTACTGGACTCTATCGGAGAGTTCTATCAGAGGGAGCCATGTTTGATGTTTCTGTCACAGGGCACTGTTATCAATAAAGTTTAGATAGAAACGAACACGAAAAAATAATAATGAACTTACGCCCCACCCACCGCCTCAGGATCTATCTTCTGATTGGTTACGACGAACATCAATCTGCGGCTTATTCCCTTCCTTGGTAACGGCCTCGGACCCGGAAGTAAACACGTTAGCCGCGAAATGCCAACAGACTGACAGCAGAGAGAACATCTGTCCAGCTGCTGCGATGAAGAGGAGCGCAGACGTGCACGTGAAGCAGGTGAAGCACGTGATCGCGGCTCTGTGCAGGCTGCTGGCGGCCGCGGGGCTGGACCCCGTGCCCCCCCCGGACTCCTTCCGACGGGCCAAGTTTGGAGACGCGGTCCAGGTGAGTCAGGAGCACGTCACCGGCCGCTTTATTAGGTACACCTGGTCAACCGCTCGTTTACATAAGTATCCAATTAGCCAATCACAGGACAGCACGTGATGGAGACGAGCTGCTGAAGCTCCAAGAGAAGAAGAAGAAAAGAGATTTAAGAGCTGGGTTTCTGAAATGTCAGAGGGGGGTGGACAGACGAGGAGAAGAGCATCTTTCCCCTCCTGTCAGTAAGAGCTGGTGCTGTGAACGTGGAGCGTGAACCAGCACCGGCTCGCTTCATTCACTCATCCACAGCTTGGCTGCAGTGACATCTGCAGGTGACATAGAGGCAGCAAAGGGCTCGATAATCACGCTGAGCTCGGGTTTGTGCGGATGATGCTGGAAGGTGTGCTCAGGGAAGCAGGTGCTGGGATGGTGGGGTGTGACGGGGTCACCACTGTTTTCAATACAATAGAACGGATTTTATTGTAACTATACACACATACAATGAGATTAAAAACAAACAAATAAGGGTTTGTATTTATTGTTATTGTTGTTGCTATTGCACAGCACTGATGGTAATTTGCATAGTCTGTGTACAGAGGGGAGTCGGGGGCTGGCGGGGTCAAACTGGTTGGTCAGTGTGAGTTCAGGCTGGTTCAAAATTCAGCCTTCAAGAGATCTGGAGCTGCTAAATGTGTTCCTGAGGACTGACTGCAGTCTTTAGTTTTCCACTGGTGCTTGAACTCAGCGTACACGTCATGTGACGATCCAGGTGATCTTCACCTCAGTGAAAAGAAAGCCACAAATATTAAATGTGTGTAAAGCTTGGACATTTGAACACATCCACACATGTAGTAGTTTCAGGTGTGTGTGTGTCACATCGTGCACACTTCCTCCTCTTCCTGATTGGACTAACTCAGCATCTCGCTGGATTTTCAGGAAGATCCTTTTTGGCAGCTGCTCGCCGACATCCTTCAGACCACCAGCGTCGTTTCCTGTGACAGCTCTGAGCCGACAGCAGGTCAGCACTTCTTCATCTCGCCCTAACTTTGCTCGTGCACACTGTAAGTGACGTTTGATTGGTGCTTTTCCTCAGAGCGCAGGAAGCTCGTGGCCGCCGGCTTGTGGCAGAGCGGCTTTCACGCTGACTGGATGTATGAGGGAGAAGGAGGAGGCGCAGTCTCCAGCCGGGAACTCCTCCTGGCGCTCGGCTGGCTGCTCGCCACCGGAGCGCTGGAGAGCGTGGTGATGAAGAGAGTGCAAAAGCTGGACAGGATGCTGCTCACGTGCACACCTGTGAGTACCACGGCAGCGTGCAGGTGAGCCTCCCCCATGTGTGCTTACCTGTGTTCTCCCTCTCTGTCAGGTGCTGCCACACCTTCCTGCTGACCTCCATGTAGACTCCGCCTCCCTGAGGAGACTCCAGTGGCTCATTGGCTGCCTGAGACATCAGAGACGGATGCTGCTGTCGATGCTACGAGAGCAAACCCGAGCTCTGCACGCGGTGAGGAAACCTCACCCTTTCATTCACGTGACATTAGAATAATCAGAAACAGCAGTTCCACTTTCAAACAAACTGAGTCAGACACATTTAGCTCAATGACGTGAAACACAATGTTCTATATTATATTATGAACACAACAAGCTCGAAACAGCTTCCCAATTTAGAAATACATCCCAGCACTGACGCTCCCAGTCAGAGCTGTGCTAACCTCCAGCTCACAGGGCTGCTGCGAGCCTGGACCATAAATCCACATTACTGTTTCCACTCATGCCAGGATTTCCACTTTTGTCACGGATATTCTCCACTTCATGTTCACTAAACCAAATTAAACCAACTGTGTGTTCAGGTTCTTTCTGCGAGCGTCACCCCGGCGCCGTCCTCTGAGCAGAGCTCGGCTGCACTCGAGGAGGTACGTCTGAGTGTTTCACAAACTCTGTATATGAAAGATGGAGGCAGCTTCCAGCAGTGAGGTCTGTGAGGAAGTGAGCAGATCTCTGAGCTCAGACTAGCTTATGGTCTGTGCGTATTTGGAGATGAGGTTGCCTTTAGCGTCACAAGGGAGCAGGAGGAGGGAGGGTTTAGGGCGGGGCTACCAGCTCCTGATTGAACAGTACTGATAAGTTTATAACAGGAGGAGCTGACAGGCGTGTCCTTCTGCTGCAGGACTGCGTTTCTCTGCAGCAGCTGTGCAGCCTCCTGGAGGCGTACCTGAAGTGGAAGCAGGTGGAGGACGTCTTCTGGACTTGGATGGTGCGTTTGTGGTTCTCACACCATGAAAATATGATGAATTTAAAAAAGTAATCAACTTAACAGTAGAGTGGCTGAAACAGCAATGTTAGAGGAAGTGATGCTGTGTGTGTGTGTGTGATTGTAGGACAGCGTTGTGGACCTGAAAGATCCCATCACCGGGAGGCCCAAACATCTAACCAATGAGAACCCCAGAGTGTGTTATCATGGAAACAGCAGGCTGGAGAAGCTGGAGGCGGTGCTGCTGGGACTGCCTGCAGCTCAGGTGAGCAGCACGCAGAGGTCAGCCAACACAGGTCCTGACTTTTGTCCTACATGGGACAGATTTCTCCTCATTAGAAAGCGTTCAGTCAGATGTAGGCACTGAAAACGTCTCGGAAAGGTGGAAATTTGCCCCTTTGTCACAGTGGATCTGTCCCACCCCACATTGACTGCGTCAGTTTCAGAGTGATGCTGATGCATGGAAAACCTGCAGACCGAACCGTGATGTTCCATAGATGTTTAAACTCAAATCGATGCTGTGCGGGCTTCGAGCATTTCCCATGATTCTTTGTTGTTCTGTGCTTTACTCAGATTGCAGGCAGTCGCCTTGACGACATCCAACATAACGGAGCCTAACTCCATTTCAATTTTTAGTTTGAGTTTTATTTATGAAGCACCAAAGCACAGCTGAAGGGTACGGACTCAGTATGCAGCGGCCCAACAATCACACGACCCGCTGTGAGCAGCAGTGGGGAGGAAGAATTCCTTTTTAACAGGAAGTAGCATGAACTAGTTTTTCTCTATCAGTCTTGCAAGAAAGCAGTCTTACATATGTGTTTAATATGTGCGTTGAATGACATGTCCTGGTCAACAATGACTCCAGAGGAAGAATCTGCTTAGATACTATATTTCTAAGATTTTCAGGGCCGAGTACAATAACCTCAGTTTTATCTGAATTAAGAAGCAGAAAGTTAGCGGCCATCCAGGTCTTTATGTCTTTAAGACATTCCTGCAGTTTAACTCATTGGTGTGTGTTATCTGGCTTCATGGACAGATAGAGCTGGGTGTCATCTGCAGTGAAAATATGTGCAGTGTTTTCTAATCAGGCTACTTACATGGACGTTTATGGTGTTTATACTGATATTTGTGCTCCTGCAGGGAGGACAGAGGAGACAAGGAGGAGATGGTAAGGACAGAGAAGGAGGAGAGAGGTTTGGCGTCTCCTTGTCCCTCCCTCCTGTTCTCTCCTCCTTCCCATCCTTGCCCTCCCTCTCACAAGTCTGCCGAGTGAGGCCTCAGCTGGAAGAGCCGAGGAGGCGCCCGGCCAGAGGCCCCGGTGGGCAGGCGGAGCCTCCAAACGAGCTCCCGGCGTCCGAGGCCGTGGCGCTGCTTCTTCATGCAGAGGCCGTGCTGATGAAGAGGAGGGACGAGCAGAGGCTGACCAACAGGACGAAGCTGCAGGAGACGATCGGCAGGCTGGAAGAGCTGGTGCTGATTCCACCGTGAGCGTCCAGTTTAAACTGGTGGAGCAGAAGCTGTGAGGACATTATCGTCTCTGCAGAGACTGAAACAGCTGCTGCACACGAGTCACTCAGAGCATTTAATAACTGATAAACACACACTGTCATAACTGGATCTGTTGGTCCGATACATGAAATGTTGTGAAGTCAAACTACAGGCGTCAAAAACATCATTTGCATATTTATTCATTCATCAAATTAAACACAAAGTTGTTTTCAGCAGAGCCAAAAGAGTCACTTTAAATTTAAACATTTTAGAAATTAAACAGATTCCAGCTTCTGATGTTTTCTGTCGTCGGGTAAATTTCTGGGACTTTGGAGGCGACCGTCGAAACACGTCACGAATTCACCACCAGCAGTTTCTGCATGTACGAATTGAGCCACTTCTGCCTCTCCATGGAGGTGAGCAGCTTGCTCTTCTCCCTGAAAGCCGCGTCGTCGGCCACCACCAGGTTCCTCTTCGCCATCCCGGCTCCCGGAGACGACCATTCTGCAGGCCACGCCCCCTCCACACTACAGACAGAAAACAACACAGTGTACCACTGTTTAAATGGGAGATTCAATTTTTCCCCGTTTAAGTTTGACTGTTTGTTAATTTAATAATAATAACAATAATAATAATAATAAACCAGTCTTTATTTTTCTATCCAATCAGACTGCTTTGTACAGATAGAAGAGTCTCCCCCTGCTGGACGCTAGAAAGAATGCAGGTTTAATGTTTTTCATCATTGTCCTTCTTTCATATACAGTCTATGATGTTTCATTATGAATTTATCAGTTTTGCCCAGCTGTACCTTGTCTCCGCCCCCTCTGGAGCAAATAGCCACGCCTCCCTCATCAGTCCTGCTTTGCTGTTGGCTGCTGCTCTAAGGCCGGGCGCTGACATCATTTGGATGCTCCAATCACGGAGAGAGATGGAAGGGTAGAGGACGTCCCAGTCGACTCGTTTGTGTTCCTCCGAATCTTCCAAACTTCTGCGATTGGACGAGATCACAGTGACATCACAACATCATGTAAACATCATTCACACGGCACCCTCAGGCCTCCGTAGGAGGTGAAATCCTCTTTCCAATGTCCGGCAGAGTGTCTGGCTCATTGATTGGTTCAGAGCGTACCCACCTGAGAGGAAGGCGAGGCTGAGGGAAGCCAGACGTCAGCAAGATCATACCCAGAATGCAAAGCAGCGGGACGCACGTGCGGGGAAAGACAGGAAGCTGAGACATCCTAAAAACAAACAGAAGAAGAATTTTCAGTTTCATGAAGCTCGTTGTGATTTCACGTTGCAGCGCCTCCTCCGGAGAATGATGGTCACTGATGTAATTCCTAAACATTTTTATTCTGCATTAAGGACCAAAGTCTGGCTTCAGGTGTGCGCGTCACGTGTTTCAATCTGAGGCTGACAGAGTGGCTGTAAACCACGGCGCCCTGACCCCGAGGTCACCGCTCGCCTCTGGCTCGTTATTTCTCAGGCGACCGTGAAACAGCGAGTTTGAGCCCTAACGAGGAGCTTTTGGTGCCTGGAAGTTAATCGGGCTGAGCTGACCTTTAACCCCGGAGACACCTGTTTGGCATGGCTGTCGTCTCTCTGCAGCGGGCTGACATGGCCACGTTCTTAACATTGATTTTTTTTCTCATTATTGTAATATTGCAGGATTCGCTGGCATTGTTTTCATAACGACGACAGCTTCGTGACTTTTTCATAGACCGCAGGTGTCATTTTTTTATCACCGTGGCAACACTTCCGCAGCTTTCATGAAATATTATTTCCTCAGTCTCTTCAAGACATATAATAATAATAATAATAATAATAATAATAATAATAATAATAATAATAATAGTGATTAAATCACATACAGTTAAAAGCGTTTGATTGTTCGGGCGTGATGACAGGCGTCACAGTGACAAAACAAACATTAACGATGATTCAGACGAATGTTCTTAGATGTAAACAGCGGTGATGAAGGAGGCGGCGCCGTCACGTTATACTCAAACTGGGCTCATGTAATCCATTACTCCTTTCACAGGAAGTCGAGGGATGTCCCCACTGTGGTGTTTTTTAAATGTAGCTTATTTGACTTATTCTTACATGATAAAAAAAAATTCTTTTTAATCCCGCCCCCCTGCCGTACCTGGACTTCTTTAGAACTGACTAATGAACAAACAGTCTCGCTCCAGAGCTCACTCTGAGCTCACCTGTGCAGGCGGACACGGACGCTTTTTATACTCCAATCAAGTTAGTTCAGCAATCATGAAGACGTATTCTGATTGGAGCCAATGTGTGCCGTCACGCCTCCGCCAGTTTCACCCTGATCTGATGCCGGACTGAATTTGGCGCCCTGTGAGGGACTAACCTGATCTCAAATTCAAATTTTATTTGTCACGTACAAAGTCATACACAGTACGATATGCAGTGAAATGCTTGGACAACTGCTCGTGACCTAAAGAAAACAAAAAAGGAAGGCTATGAATAAGATAGGAAATAAATATGAAAAATTAAAAAGGGTAAATTTAACTAGGAAGGAATAAAATATAAATTAAGGTTAAAAATGAAATAACTGTACAACACAAATTAGAATGAAGGGTAAATTTAACTGGGAGAATAAGATAAAATATATAAATTAAAGTTGAAAATAAAATAACTGTACAACAAAATACACAATATAGAACTATATAAGAATGTATGAAGAAATATAAATAAATATATACACAATAACAGCAGCTGTACAAGTAATAACTGGAAATGAAGAATGTAGTGACCAGTGTTGTGCAATCCACATTATGTCTTATTTCAGTGCCAGTTTGGCACTTACCTGCTGCTCAGGTGTCGCTGTGTCTCCTCGGAGCTGCTCGCGTCACTCGGGGAGAGAAACCAACCAGAAACTGAGCAGAGCTCCAGGCGACTCTGTCCCAGCCGCTCAGATTTCTGCTTCCTGTCAACACAATAAAGTTTGAATAGAAAGAATAGATCCTCACTCGTGCTTCTTGGTTGACGCTTCGCCCTGTGCAGATGAATGGTGGTCTTTCATACTTATATACAGCTTACTGTGGAGGGTCTGAGCCCCCCCCCACACACACACGCACACACACACACACACACTGAAGCATGTACACCCCTCACCAGATCAATCCAGCTGTGGTTCAGTGCCGAGGACGCCGTTAGCTTGTTAGTGTCCCGTTTCAAAGACTGTTAGTCACGGTGCTGCTGCAGAGGGCCAGCGTCCTCATTACAGAGCGTGTGTGTGTGTGTGTGTGCATACGTGCAGGACTGTTCATTCGTGCCAAACAGAGAAGCTTTATAGGACGTGAGAAATGTTCTCTGTGGAATAACAAGAAAATAAATCATCATGAAAAACAGAAAACGCGTTCATAAATAGAGACACACACACCTGTCTGAGCTTCCTCCACACTGACAGGTTAACGAGGCGTCCTTATCCACGGTGAAGGCCACTAACACAAACTGTGGGCGATGTGAGCACAGACGTTTCCTGCGTGGCGCTGAAGCACCTCAGATCGTCAAACGTGTCCCAGGGATGATTCCTGCAGGACGTCCCAGAGTTACTGAGGACCACAGCGTCCACGTGCTGCTAGAGGACGGTGGCATCAAAGGTGTTTCAGGTCATTTTACCACAGAGGACCTGCTCCGCCCACCTTCAGTCCCACCTGTCTCCTTTCCCGATCAGCTCGCTGTTGCTGAAACTTCCTGCCCTCCAGTGTGCGGCTGGTGTTTCAACAAACCGTCATATTAATAGAATCTATATTTTATATCAGCGGCCCCCAACCCCCGGGTCACCGTCTGTGAGAGTTGAGGCTCGGGTGTGAAATGTATGTTTTTCAGGGTTTTATCGGTTTTTTAACGTTAACTCTGTTTCTCTGGGTCTGTTCCCGTGTGTTATGAATAATACTGGTTTTATTTGGTTGTATTCATCCGTGAACCTTTAAAGGCCGGTCTGTGAAAATATTGTCGGACATAAACCGGTCTGTGGCGCAAAAAAGGTTTGTGAGCGCCGATTTATATTGTTGATCAAACTTAGGCAGAAAATTAAATGAGTCATGATGAGGGTTCCTGATGTGCTCACACTGAGCTTACCTGAGTTATGTGTTTGTGTCTGTGTGTGTTTGGTGGGTCATGAAGCACAAAGATAAAGGTAAAAACAGATTCTGACAGGAAGCTCGTCTCCTTTTAAGGAGCTCGTTATGGGCGCTGCTGGAAATAATGACCACAGACAGGAAGCAGGTGTCTAACACCCTCACAGGATAACGAGCAGCAGACGCCGAGCGTGAGCCTCCTCGCCGTGCCTGTGCTCATCAGAAATCCCCGTAGCCGGATTCTGCTGGAAATGATATTTAGGCACTGATCAGACTGGAGAGATGTAGGTGAATCAGGGTGTAGGTGAGTCCTGTTGACTCCATCGTGGACCAAACGCTGAGTGCCTCCTCTCAAAGCTGTCACATGTCACAGACTCTCTCCACCGTCCTGCACGTTTGAACTCTAATTCACTCACTGATAGCAGTGGTTACCATAATTCTGCACGCACACATTTTGATTTGAAGTCATTTATTCTTTAATTCTCTTATTTAGAAAATGGGGAAACTTGAGCTGTGAGAGCTGCAGCTCCTGTCTGTGGATCCTGTGCTGATTCATGTGACGCTGAATCTTCCCAGATATCAGCGGCTGCGAGGTTGTTGTACCGTCAGCATTTCTGCTGCTTCATCAGTGTTGGAGTTGTTTGGATGGAGCCTTCGGTCACCCCCTGGTGTCAGCAGTGCGCCTACAGGACTGGAAAGTGCAACAAAAACTTAAAAATAAGAGTTGTGTTACCAAAGCGGTAAAACTCTGAGGATCTTGTGACCCAGCGAGAAACATTACAGGACACAGCATTGGTAACAGGCGCTTTATTAACAGCAGGGACAGCGTGAGATGACCTTTGGAGTGTGGTTGGGTTTTGTTTGAGGACGAGACGTCAGAGTCTACCCGACCACAGAGGGATCGAGCGGGCCTCAGACAGTCACCCCTAACTCAGCCAATCACAATATCTCATTTTTACTAAATACTATTCCAGGTCTTAGAGAAAATGATTCGCATCGTTTCCAAAAACTTGACTTTCCCTTTCGGTTAAATTCGTCGCAGAGAGTAGCATCGTGTATCCAAAGGCCATAAACAGTACAAACATGATCATATATGTGCATGTTAGCATTACATGTGAGTCCTGCTGCAGTGGGCGGGGTTCCAGACCCCTGCCCGCCGTGAGCTCAGTTTGTCTTTGTTTTCTTGTGTTTCGTCGAGCTGCTCGTGTTTCGCCATGGCTGAACTTCCTGTTGTCCTGCGTGCTCTCGTCCACGTCAGGCTTCGAATGACACCTGAGGTGGAAACGCATCGCTTCATTTTTGCTTCCCTCCTCTCAGCATCTCCGCTGCTGCTGATGGAGGAGGAGCTACAAGCTGATCAGGCTCTCCTCCTTCACCCTGGGCTCCTCGGTGTCAGCGGGCGCCATGTCTGCAGGGATGAAGCATTCTGCAGGTGGAGCCGGCGGCGGGTCAAGGGGACAGGTGCGGCGGGGCGGGGCGTCGGCGGGTTGATCGGCGGGGTGATAGACGAAGCAGTAGGCTCCTGGCTGGCAGCCACTCTTCACGCTGAGGGCGAGCTCTGTTTGGGCCACGGGGTGATGGATGCCATCGATGTACACGCTGAGGGTGTAGGAGTCTGCAGAGGAGAAACACGAGTCACTTCCTGCTCAGACAGGAACCAACATGTCCAAACTGGTCGCAGCATGGCAGTAAAAACCAAACCAGAGAGGAACACATGGTGTCCTCCATCGCCTCACAAAGCAAGAAACAGCCAGCAGATTATTGCAAGAAAGCCAACGCAAAGTCGGCGAGGGAGCTGGAATACACGGGTCAGCAGACAGAACACAAGAGAGGTGGAGTGCAGGCAGGGCGGAGCGGGTGGAGGGGGTGGAGATGAGCGTGACACAAGGACAGCAGCAGGAGGGAAAGAAGGTTTAAAGGTGGAGACGGTGGAGCTGAAGGTGTTCACTGAGAGTGAGCAACAGGGGCCGCTCAGAGGGTCTGAGCATGTGCAGATGAGGAAGGGTGGAGGATGAAGATGGAGCAGAGGAAGACCTCAGAGTAGGTTCATGGATGCAGAAGAAGGACATGCAGAGGAGGATGCTGGGATAGGAGGAGATGGATCAGGACCGGACGTCTGGAGCCTGGTTTGATTTTCTTACTCTTCTCTTGATTGATAATATTTTATTTCAAAAAGATGAACCTCCAGGTGATGCTGGAGTACATCGAGCAGGTCGGACGATGCCTCTGATTTTTATCTTAGAACTATCGTTAACCGAAACGACACAATAAGAAGAGACGATCTCAAAAACAAGGCTGCAGCCTCCTGCCAGGAAAAAAACTGATTGTTCAGAGGTTGCTTTGAATATTTTCACTTTTCCAACTGGAAGTAGTCGCAGTGACCTGGGGTCACCCGGAGGTTACGCGTGTAGCTCCCTCTGAGTAACCCCCTGTCAATCACACGGTGACTGCACAGGTTGCCTCGTGGGTGCAAGCCTGTCTCCACATAACTGCAGCCACCGTGAGGCAGACAGGTGACCCCAGGTGGGCAGGGATAGCTCAGTAGGTAGAGTGGTGGCCCCATGATTGGAAGGTCGGGGGTTCGACTCCACTGAACGGCTACCCTGAGGTACCCCTGAGCAAGGTACCGTCCCTACACACTGCTCCGCGGGCGCTGCACTGGTGGCTGCCCACTGCTTCACTGGGTGAATGGGTTAAATGCAGAGGAACTATTTCCCTATGGGGACTAACACGCACACTTTTACTTTTTTTAGGTGAGAGCTGGCAGTGCACCGACAGGAAAACCCAGAGAGCCAATCTGCTGTGTGTGAAGAGCTTCATCTGAGCAGATGTGTGCTGATGTTCACTGATTCTGACTGCCAGAGGAAGAAAGCTGCTTTGCGTTGTCCCCGCCGTGACGGCCGACGTGGGGTTACCTTGTTCGAAGCGTGCGGCGCACTGCTCAGAGAGCTGCTGGATGGTGGTCATGGGGAGGACGCCCAGAGTTTTGGGGTTGGCTCCGATCTCGGGGCAGCATACCGTCAGGAAGTCCTGCAGAGAAGCAGAGAGGTCTGAGCGCTCACTCGCCTGCATACGGTTTTTTGTAATGTACAGAGATTTGTTTCTGGATTCAGTTTTGGTTTTATCATTGCGTGTGTCCCTGACGTCTTCTGTTACTTTGAGTTTCCTGTTTTACTTTGACTTTTAGTTTGACTTCCTGCCATGTGGTTATCTTCACCTGTGCTTCGTCTCAAATACGTCCGTTAACTAAATGAGTTTCAGGTTATTTTAAACTCTGAGTGTATTTCAGCTTCAGCATCGGATTTTCTGGTTTCAGTTTAGATTTTTTAACAGTTTGAAAACATTTTAATTTCATTTTTTAATAATATAATTAATATTTTTTTAATTATTGTAACGTGGAGGATGTCTGCCAGAAACACAGTTTAGAAGTTCAGAGCAGATATTACAGTCCACACAAACCACAAACAGATTGACAAAAACCTCCAAACTGACCAAGACTAGAGCTACAGAACTCACGGAGTACCTCAGGGTTCCCTGCTGGGTCCCTTTCCTTTGTCTAACAGCCGTGTTTTTACCAGGCAGCGGTCGACTGTCTGAGAGATTCTGTCACAGTTGGAGATTCTTACAGTCTCGCATGCAGCTGCAACGTCTTTGCTTTGAGTGGAGAACATCTGTCTTCTTACGTAGTTTCTAAATCCTAAATTTAGTTACTTTACAAATGATTTCACCGAGATGCCGTTTGAGGTGACGTTGAATCTTATAACCTTGTTTAAGACCTTCCAGTAATAATTCTCACACTTAGACTTTTACTGTGCACACATGTGGCTCCTCCCACCGTCCACAGACATGCAGTCAGCAGGTCTGAATATGATTGGCTTGCCTTTGTGGGTACCAGAGGAAGGGGGTGCCTACTGGGGTCAGCGGGGGAGCTGGCCCTAGGGAGGGGCATCCTCCCCTCCCTCCTTTTCCTCCCCATCCCCGGCTACCTCCCTCTTCCC